AAATAAATGATGAAAATTATAAGTTCAAAGAAACCTGAGAAGAAGTGAGTAGAACTAGGAGAGTAATTTATACAGTGACTACAGTGTTATAAATAAAAATGTCTTTGGAAGACTTAAAGACTCTGATGCAGTTACCAACAGCAACTCCTATGTTAAGCAGTCTACCTCCTGACAGAAGGATGATGAACCAGAGGTGTAGATATACATCTGTAAGCCATCCTTTTAGAGTCTTGCTGAAGTATGGGCTGTAGTTGTCCAGTATTGTTTGAGTGGACAGGCCAAACTGTAATTTGTAATTACAGATCTCTTTCAGGAGGTTCTGCAATATCCTGGGACTTGTTCAGTCTCAACTGTGCTTCTTAAACTGTGGATTGCAACCCCACATGGGGTCACAAAAAATCTGGCAACAGTAAAAGGATTCTGAATGTGCAACAACCAAAAATTAATTAATAGTCAAACATGTAATGAATCTGAGGTGTTTCTGGCAGCACTTGCCTGTGTTGCATCTTGCAACTTTACTGCCGCCTTGGTTCTGAGCACAGAGCACTCGCACTTTGCACAGAGCATGCGCTCAGGCCATGCAACACCAGCAAACGCTGAGGAAAAGTGATAAAGGGTCTCCAGTGGAAAAAGTTTAGAAGCCCTGGTCTAGACGATGTTATCCACCAACCAAGTAGAAAAGGAAGTCCAAAAGCTCAATGAAGAAAATACTTCCTTAAAAATTAGAATGGAGCAATTGGAAGCTAGTAACATTATGTGAAATCAACACTGTAAAACAAATCCGAAAGAATCAAAAAAATAGAAGACAATGTGAAATATCTCATTGGAAAAACAACTGACCTGGAAAATAGATCCAGGAGAGATAATTTAAAAATTATTGGACTATCTGAAAGCCATGATCAAAAAAAGAGCCTAGATATCATCTTTTAAGAAATTATCGGGGGCAGCTAGGTGGCGCAGTGGATAGAGCACCGGCCCTGGAGTCAGGAGGACCCGAGTTCAAATCCGGCCTCAGACACGTAACACTTACTAGCTGTGTAACCCTGTGCAAGTCACTTAATCCCCATTGCCCAACCAAAAGACAAAAAAAAAAAAATTATCGAGGAAAATTGCCCTAATATTTTAGAACCAAAGGGAAGAATCCACCGATCACCTACTGAAAGAGATCCCCAAAGGAAAACTCCTAGGAATATTGCAGCCAAATTTCAGAGTTCCTAGGTCAAGGAGAAAATATTGCAAGCAGCCAGAAAGGAATAATTCAAGTATTGTGGAAACACAATCAGGATAACACAAGATTTAGCAGCAGCTACATTAAGGGACTGGAGGGCTTAGAATATGATATTCTGGAGGTCAAAGGAGATAGGATTGCAACCAAGAATCACCCACCCATCAAAACTGAGTATAATCCTTCAGGGGAAAAAATGGATATTCAATTAAATAAAGAACTTTCAAGTATTCTTGATGAAAAGACCAGAGCTGAATAGAAAATTTGACTTTCAAATACAAGACTCAAGAGAAGCATGAAGAGGTAAACAGGAAAGAGAAATCATAAGAGACTTATTAAGGTTGAACTGTTTACATTCCTGCATGGAAAGATAATATTTGTAACTCATGAGACCTTTGTCAGTATTAGGGTAGTTGGAGGGAAAAATTATATGTATATATGTACAGATAGATAGATAGATAAAGGGCACAGGATGAGTTGAAGATGAAAGGGTGATATCTGGAGAATAAAATTAAGGGATGAGAGAGGATTGTACTGGGAGAAGGAGAAAGGGAGAGGTCGAATGGGGTAAATTATCTCACATAAAACAGACAAGAAAAGGCTTTTACAGTGGAGGGGAAACTGGGGAAGGTGAGAGGAATGAGTGAATCTTATTCTCATCGGATTTGGCTTAATGAGGGAATAACATACACACTCAATTGGGCGTGGAAATCTATCTTACCCTACAGGAAAATAGTGGGCAAGGGGACAAGAGAGCAGAGGAATGATAGAGGGGAGGGCAGATTGGGGGAGGGCATAATCAGAAGCAAATACTTCTAAAGAGGGACAGGGTCAAAAGAGAGAATAGAATAAATGGGGGGGCAGGATAGGATTAAGGGAAATATACTTAGTTTTTCACCACATGACTACTATGGAAGTGTTTTGCATGACTCCACATGTATAACCTATATCTAGTTGCTTGCCTTCTCAATGAGGGTAGTTAGGGACAGAGGAAGGAAGAGAATTTGGAACCCAAAGCTTTAAAAACAAATGTTAAACATTGTTTTCACATGCAACCAGGAAATAAGATATACAGGCAATGGGGTATAGAAATCTATCCTGCCCTACAAGAAAACTGAAGGTGAAGGGGATAAGAAATGGGGGGGAGATAGAAGGGAAGGCAGATTAGGGGAAGGGGTATTCAGAATGCACACTGTGTTGGGGTGGGGGGAAGGATGAGATGGAGAGAAAATTTGGAACTCAAAATCTTGTGGAAGTGAATGTTGAAAACTAAAAGTAAATAAATTAATAAAATCTGAAAAAATATTAAAAAAAACAAAAAACAAAAAAAAAATGAAGTAGCAGATCCCCTGAAATCTATCCTTGGAGATCTGTGGATCCCAGATTAAAAAACTTTGGTCTAATTATATCTTTTCCCATTTTTTTAGACACATGAGACTTTTTAAAAACTCAGATGTAAGACTTTACATATTACCCTATGAAATTTCATTTTATTTAATTTGAGCCTGTATTTTGTCCCATCCAGATAATTTTGAATACTTTTTTCTGTGTTAGCTATCCCTCCTAGTTTTGTATCATCAATTTCTAGATTCCTAGTACTGTGTCCTGAGAAGCCATACAGTGTCTTGAAGATTTAGTGCTCTGAATCTTAAAGATTCAGAGGGGTCTAACCCTGGGAGGTGGGAGTCAATAAAAGAGCCAAAGTGATGCTGTTTAAAAGCAACAGGACCCACTACCTCTACCTAAAAGTACATCAGGATGCAGTACCTGTCACCAAGAATAAATGAAGCAAGAGATAAAAAGTAAAATAAAAATCTCTGTAAGAAAGAAATGGAATGAAAATAATTAGCTGATAACAGAAAATGATAAATGTTAGCTGAGTATTAGACTCCTTGAAAATTAGAATGGACCATAATCAAATCAATGACTCCATTAGACAACAAGAAATATTAGAACAAAATAAAGATTAACAAAAAAAAAAGGAAAAAGGAAAAAAAATAACATATCTCCAATGAAAATACCTGACTTAAAAAATAGGTTGAAATTCACTAGACTCAATGAAAAAAAAATCCCAGACATTACATATCCTTAAAGAAACACCAAAAGGCACTTATGTAATCCATAGAACATAATCAAAATCTAGTTTCTACATCAAAGAAAAAATATTGTGGGGAGGCTATGGAAGGAGGTACTGAGGAGTTACACTTAGAATCATACAAGACCTGACAACTTCAACTAAATGAGAAATTTTGAAATGTAATATTCTAAAAGGCAGAGGATAAGGGTTTGCAACATTGAATACCTTAAGCTGGAAAAGTGGGCATAATCCTATGGGAGAAAGAATGCCTTGAATAGAATAGAATGGTATGATGATAATCACTAGCATTTATATTGGTTACTCTGTTGTACTGCTCAGAGACTCATTTTTTGGGCAGTTCTGGAGTGGAAGAAGTCCCTCTATTTTATCACTATGTATTTCTTAATTATTTAATCTGGTGAAAATTTTAAGTTATTGCTAGAGTGGGTTGCCTTCCTCCTTTCAGGCACCATTCTGGCCAGAAATTTTGGACTATCCTTTTCTGTATGTCAGCTTTTCTGCTCTTGGTTTCAGAGAATTCTCTTTCTTTTCTTCTTACTTCTTTAACTACTTCTGGTATTTTCTTCACCAGCTCTTCTTCCCTTCCCCAGTTCCTTAGCAAGTGTTCCTCAAAAGTCTGCTCTTGCCCTTATTATCTTTCCCTCTACATTTGCTTTTTTCCTACTTCCCTCTTTCACTGTATTTCAAGAAATCATAAATTAAAATCTCCCGGATCTTTTAGAACCAGAAAATGGCATCACCATTTACTTAGTCTCCCCTATTTTAAAACTTGATACATTGTTTTATTCTTTCGGTGAATCTATAGCGTAGCATTCATATCTATCCCTTCCCCTTTGTCACTGCTGCCACTACCATCTTCATACCCACCTAGACTATTACAATAACCTCCTAACAAATCTCCCTGTTTCCTGTCTCTTCTCCAACTCATGCATTAACAAGGTAATCTTCCTAAAATATGAGTAAACTCATGACATTCCTACGTTCAAAAATCTTCAGTGGTTCCCTATTTGCCTATCAGCTAGTCTCTAAGTTTCATGCCTGATATTGAACTCCTTTCACACTCTAGTGCTTCTCTTTTTTTTTCAGTATTACCTCCTTTTATTCTCCACATATACACTAAGATCTAGCCAAATTAAATCACGGTTTTTGTTCAATGTACTCACGTTCCTCTTTGTCTACAGATCCTTTCTTTTTAAAATTAACTTTTATTTTCAGTTCCAAATTATCTCCCTCTCACCTCCCACTCCCTTACCCACTGAGAAAAGAAATAAAACAAAACTTGTTACAAATATATGTCGTTAAACAAAACAAATTCCTGCATTAGTCAACTTTATATCCTTTAAGCGCAGCATAAATACCACCTCCTTTCTGAAACTTTCCCTGATACCATCAGTTTATAATGATCTTTTCCCCATATATCTCACATATTATTTTGTTCTGCAACTTTCTAAAATGTTTTGCTGTTTTATATTTGTATCATTGTATGTTATTTTGCATTATCCTTATCTCTGTATCTGACATCTGTCATTAGAAAGAAAGCTCCATGAAGACAGGTATCCTATCTTTGTTTCCCCTAGTGCCCAGCACAGTGTTGTGCATAGGTCTCTTAATATATATTTATTGAAATTGATTGAGCTGTAGCTTGTACTTAGGTATTTTTTTTTGTCCCTCTCATAGTTTGTCGTGACTGTGTTTTGGAGCATCTACATCTATGATAGAGAGATGGTTTACCCAAAGTTACTTGATAATTTTATTCCTGCTTGGCTGAACCATGGAATGGTGAGTAGAACAAAACAGATTATATTCTTTTTTTAATATGTTAATAAGTGTATTTTCTGGTGCGTGAATTTCTGTGGTGCCTTCATGGATTATTGTTAAATGCATGCAAAAGAATGGATGATCATTAAGGAAGAAAGTTGTTAAGTGATTAAAACCTCTTCTCTTTTAATGACCAAAATGAGTTAGTATTAGACCTGTTAAGTAAATTGACCCACTATATATACTAACATAGGGCTGCTATTTGTTTTGTAATAAAACCACATTTAATAAAATGCTAGTTAATCAGTTCAGCTTCTGAGAGATAAAATTAAATTATTTTTTTATATTGAAGTGGCTCCTCACACCTTACAGATTGAATATTAGTCCATGCCTCATCTTCTTTCTATCCCTGTATTTTCCAACCCTCTTCTACCTCACACAGAAATATTAATAAGACCCTTTTGGAAGCAGAATTATACTGGATAATTTCTCAAAATGAATAGCAACTTTGGAAACATTTCCATTTTTTCCTTTAAATGTTGAAGAAATATGTCCTTGCCTATCTTTGTTAATAGAACTCTTGTCCTTTCCAATCCCTGTTTGTTGAGTTCTTCTTTGGTCTTTTCTGATTGGAGAAGCTTATAGCCATTGAGATTTTCACTTTTTCTCAATCTCATCCCTCTTGATGCCTTAGATATTGTAATGCCTTCCCAAATTTCCAGTCTGATGATTTTTAATGCATTATCAATCTCTGAATGAGGGAAATTGTTTGCAGAGTAACTTAGTATTATCTTATTGCTTCAGTTTCTGAGGTTGGAAATTGTCTGTTTTTGTTGTTGTATTAAATTTATTTGGAAGCCTGCATTTTGGTCATAGCCATTTTTAGAAAATGTCACAGGATGCTGCTGGTGAAAAGGGCAGTGCATCACAGAAATTATAGGGGAAAGGAAGAGCTCTAAATGCTACGACCAAAATAAAATTGCCCTTCCCCACTTTGGTATATTTTAAGAAAAGTAGTGCGTAATAACAAATGTACATATGATTGTGCTAGACTGACTTTACCAAGTCTTTCTGAAACAAAGTGTAACGACTGGCATGTTTCTATACTTTCCTGAGCATCCAGGAGGTGGCATGGTGTAGGGGCAAAGGGCTTTGGATGACGAGTCAGAAGAGGGGTTCTGGCTCTATCATTAACTAGCTATGTGACCTTTAGTAGTCTATTTAAACTTTCCGGACCTCATTCTCCCTACCCATAAAATGAAGGAGTTATACTAAGTGACTTCACTTGTTTCTTCCCTTTGTAAAATCCTGTGAATTTTGACAAGTCACAATTTTCTTTGATGATGTCATTCTAGAACTGCCATATGTAATGACTGAAAAAACACCATTGGGCCAACCAATAATGAAACTGTACCTACTTTATAACTATGATTTGGATAATATTTTTTTTCCAGAGGGTATTTTAGACATATGCATATTCATTCTCATTCTTTCTTAATGGGACAAGTTGAATTTTTACTACTACAAATATGGAGGACAGAAGAAATATGTTAAGGATATTCTGAAGGAAAGTTTCTACAGTAAAGTTGTAGACTTCTGAAAACATCATTTTGGATGTTTCATTTGAGAATTAGATGCTCTTTCTTAGAAAAGATGTCAGGTCAAACTTGAGCCTCAGACGCAGAGTTGCAGTGAGTGTTAGATTTTGTACGTGGCTGCTGCAGCCACAAATCAAAGAGCAGTCTTTCCATGTTTTCAGTGAGGAAAAACTATGGCTCACAAATTAGTCATTTCAGCTCTGTCCAGGTGCAATCATCATCAATAGCATTATCTTCAAATATGAAGCAGTGATATATATATATATAACTGTTCACAAGTGAACAAAGTGTGTGACCTAGTTAAGTGAGGGCATTTTTGAAACCCTTGTCTGCTGTATTACTGTTTAGAACTAGCAGCTGCTTTCTTGGGGGTAATGAGGGTGATTAGCAGAGAACAATAGAATTACGTCATAGGGTAGAGCATTCTAACTACTTAACCACTTGGCTCCTTTTCTGCATCTCTAAACTGTATGTAATACCGTCAGTCTGAAGAGTTGATCACAACCTCTGTTGGTTCCAGTTTTACGTTTTTCTGAGGCTGAATGTTTCCAGCAGGCAGCTTATTAACCAAATTTCCAGCCTTCAGACCTTAAGTCTGTGTCTGCTTTCAGGATTGTCATTCAGACAACTTTGATAACTAAGTTGAGGAACACAACTCTCACCTTGCTTGGTCCTTCGGACAGACTTCCTCTGCTGCCATTGTTCCCGAGATCACAAGTGAACATTTTGAGTACACTCTTCTCTGTTGATAACAAGTCAAAGTGTCATGTCACTACAGCTAATTAAGTCTTTTGCTCCTTAAGATGCTTTAGTCTATTGTAGAGGACCTATTCTTTACATCTAATGGTAAAAAAGGGGGCTGATTTTACCCCTTTGTAAAGTCCTGTGTCAACGTACACTGTCCAGTGCTTGGAAGTCCCTTTGTTGACTAAGAGAGTTCATATCCCTCCAGGAGAGCATTACTTTTCTTCTCAGATGCAGAACAAGACATTGTTTGTGTGGGCTCAACATTGTTTGTTACCAGTGTGGAATGTTGGACCACAAAACTGAAATTCAATTCATAATGTGTCATTATGAGACCCTCTTAGAAGGCATCATGAAACCAACCTTGAATTTACAAAGCTGGAACTTTTTAGAATTGGAGCTGCCATAGTAGAAAGAACACTGAATTTAGAATCAAAGGACCTGGTTCCAAATCTGATTGCTTCTTAACTACCTTGAGAAAATTTTTATTTTTCTTCTCTGGGCCTTGATTTCTTCATCTGTAAAATGAAGAGGCTGAAGTAAAGGATCAATTCCAGCTCTAAATTCCATAGTCTTTTAAAAGCATGTGGAAGCAACAACAAAATAAAACAGGGTTTAGATTAAATACAAAGCTGCTAAAAACTGAATCCCATTTGTTTGCAAAGAGAGGGAGAGGGCTGGGGAATTAGAAGTTAGAACTGTGATTTCTCAATCCTAGTTTTATAAACCTGCCATGGGGGCTAATGACAACATTAAAAATTGTCCAAATAAAGAATATTGAACTAGGAGTGAGAAACCTGGGTTGTGGTCCTGATCTGGTGCTTACTAGCCATAGGAATGACCAAATCATTTACCCTTTCTAAGATCCATCTGTAATTTCTTCTTCTGTAAATAGGAATGATAATAACGTCTCTGCCCATCTCGTTACTGTGCTCAGAGCATCTGGTGACATAACACATGAGAAAACAATGAAATACAATACATCTAAAAGGTATCATTTAATTTTTAAAAAATTATTATTTTCCATATACTACTTTTAAGAGATGGTGCAAAATCAAGCTGCCATGGTAGAAAGAACACTGGGTTTAGAATCAAAGGACCTGGGTTCCAAAACTGATTGCTTCTTACTACCTTGGGAAAATTACTTTTCTTCTCTTAAGGATTGTCACAAGTTCAAAAAGTTTAGGAACTCCTGCAAATGTGTCCCTTCTTTCCCTCTCAAGAATAGTGGAAGGTTATCCAGGAATTTGTCCAAGTGGCTAGCAGGCACTCTACATACAGACATAATGTGTCTGTTGCCCTGTCCCCCTTGGCTGATTACACACACACACACACACACACACACACACACACACACACAAAAACAAACAGTAGACAGCAGCTGCCAACAATTGTACCTTCCAAGGTTGATGGTGGTGGAGTGGTACAAGTAATGCAAAGCTATGGCAGTGTTCTGGGGAGGGAACTTCATGAGGTACTACAGTCAACCTGGGCATCTTAGTGATGAAGACCTAGCCAGTAAGGTATAAGAGGGCTGGCCAGCAGAAGAGATATTTCGGAGAGCTAATGCAGGAGCTACAAAGGGATTGTTTTCTGACAAGAAGTATGGTTATTATCTTCATTCTCCTGCCTTGTTACTGAACTCAGTTCTTGTTGCAAAAATAGAACCCTAAGCCCCTCCACTTCTGCTGACCATAATTTTAAAGCACCATCAGGGGAGCAAATAAGCATTTTAAAGACAAATACCCATAAATATTTAAACTCAGAAAAAATTGTAGACAATTAGCACTGCTGTGTCAGGAAGCACTCAACAATGATACAATGTCTCTACTTATTGAGAGAACTAATTAATGTTGATGAGTGCTTTGAGATCTCGAATGAAAGACACTACAGATGAGTAGGCTGTTATTATTATTGTTGTTATTATAGAGCTGTGAACAGCCATGACATGGATAGTCTGAAAATCACAGCATGAATTATCCATTCTCCATATAATTTCTGAAGGAAAAAGAAAGGAATTGGGCCCCACCACTGAGCATACTCAGTGTGTCATTGTTTCTTATGTGCAATTGAAAATCAAACTAACCTTAATTTAGATGAATATTTAGTCTTTTCAAAATTATTTTGACATTTAGTAATTACTAAAGACAGCTGTAGTTTTTGTACATCTGCCTTTTTAAAGAAGAAAAGAGTGTTAAATGTGTCTGGATGATCATGGGTTTTATAGAAATACAGAGATGAAGTTATCCTCTTGGAGTATGACATGACTTGTGGAAACTGTCCAAATCTGGGTAACACAGTTCATGCATTTGGTTCCAGGAGGGGCTTGGGTCACTCTATCCTCTCACCCTTATGAACTCTGGCTAAAAGAATACCAATGAAAACATTACATTTAAAGAACCTGGCCTTGTGCTTTATTTTTCTTTTACGAAGAGTTCTCCCTCTAAAACTGTTCTGAGATACCTGAGCAAATTCGACAATAAAACTCATAAACTGTAATAGAGGGCAGAAATTCCTTGGGAACATCTGGCTAGATGGGGTTCACACTTGAAAGGGACTCCCACAGAAAACTCTAAAAGGGCATAGGAATTCAGCAAAAGTAACCATATTAAATTCATACTGACAGGGGATTTTTGCAGTATTTCAAGTTGCTTTTTTACATTTCTAACTTAGTGAGGT